CTGTTTGGAGGTGGGGAGACCATTCTATTTCTTTCTTTATGTGAAGATTTTTTCTGTCACAGTTGCCTTTGGATGATATTTTGAAGCTAAAAGGCTTGAGAATTGTTTCTAAGTGTTATATATGTGGTAAGGCTGAAGAGTCTAAATCACATATTTATGAATGCTCCTTCTCCCAAGCTATTTGGTTTGGATTTGGGAGGCAGCTCCGTATACTTTGGCCTTCCAATTCTCGGGTTGAAGATTATATGGCTTCTTGGAAATTTTCTCAGCATAAAAAACTCGCATATTTCCCTTTGGTAGTTCTTTGGTTCATTTGGTCGGCTAGAAACAACTATAAGTATGCCAACTCCCTCCTATCTCCTCCCTTACAATCTCACACACTCTCTAATTATTCTAAGGCTTGTCGTACTTTAAAGCCTAACAATTTTGAGCCTTTGCAACAATTGGGCAAGAGACCATCTCTGGTCTAATGGCAGCCTCCTAGTGATGGCTGAATTAAATTCAATACTGATGGCAGCTGGAGTTCATAAGCTACAGGAATTGGAGGTGTTTTTAGAAATAAGTCGGGCAATTATTTATGTCATTTTGCTTCCCATATTGAGTTTGTAAGCTCTCTAGAATGTGAATGTTGGGCTGTGTTGATGGGAATCAAGCTGGCAATTATTTTTCACCACTCTACACTGATTATTGAAACTAATTCATGGCAGCTTTATAATATGCTTACTAAAGTGGCCAAGCCTGATTGAGATTTATTGTGTCTACTTAATCATATCTGGAATTTAATCTCTACGCATCATCTTAACATTCAATTCAGTTTTATTTATAGAGAGGGGAATGCACCTGCGGATTAGCTAGCAAAGAGTGGCACCACTCTCCTCACTGTTGCTACACATCCCACTCCGCCTCTTAGAAGGTTGTTGCATGGTGATAAACTTACTATAACATTTATCATAAGCTAACATGGTCTCTGTTACTTTTAATTCCTTTGATTACTTGAATTTTATGTCTTTCCTGATATTGCTTTTGCTCGACTACTGCTTCTGTGTTTTACGTGACTCTTTATTTTACTGGGGGTTATCTGCGGGTCTCTTTTGTTCTTTCTTGTTGTTTGGATCATATGGCTTCATGTCTACTCCTCTATTACCTATGGCTTGCCCTCTAATGGTTGTTTACAACCTCAAAACTCTGATTGCCTGCTGATTTCCTTTCCTTTGCTGCTGCTATTTGGTTTATTGCCTCAACAAGTTTGAAGTTTCTTTCTTTTTTGGCTATCTCTACAACTACTATACAGTTTTACAGGGATACATGGTTTTCTTCAAGTTAAATAAGTATTTTCTGCATACTTTGTTTTCAGACATTGGTGCGGTCTCGATTTTTTGGAGCAGCTTGTGTATATTGGAGAAGCTCTCGATTTTTTATTATTTTGGGCTCGACATTCTAGTTTTTTTTTTCGTGAGCCTTTATGTTTTGGGTATACGACCTTCTTTAGTCTTTATTTTGTTTTGGAATACTCTTTTTTGTGTTGTTGAGAGGTTTTGTAATGTGGTAGAGGAACCCTCTTATGAGTGCGTACTATATTCTGTTCTTTTTAGATTCGGGGGATCCTCTCCCAACCCTATATACTCAACTTTTATGATTAACACGTAGAGAGCAGAATATATATATTTCTAACATTTAAGTTTACTTTATATATTTATACGGCCCAAATCTTTCTTATCTTATCAAAATTAAAGTTTAGGTAGTAGATATGTAAATACTAAGAATTGAGTTGTATGCATGTAAATATTATATATATATGAACAAGATTTTATTTGGATTCACAACTACTCATCGTTCATAAATTAATAAATGTCAATCGATGCTTAATTGGGATTAATTAGGGTTGTATGAACATATTAGATTCAAGTTAGTAGAATTTAATAAATCTCATAAATTGGGATTTAGAAACTCCTATAAGAGTTTGATCCTAAAAAGTGTTTGGCAAGAGACTGAAATCATGTCAAGCTCTTTGACAACTTAGGATTTAAAAATTTGTTATGTTTGTTATAATAAAAGAAATTTATTATTTTATTACTATAAAATAATAATTATTGAATTTAATTTCAATTTAGTTATAATTATGCTAATTAATAACTAATGATTTTCAAAACTAATTAATTATTTATCTTAAAATTTTTAAACTAATTAGTCATTAAATAATAATTTAACATTAATATTGAATTAATTAGTTATTAATTATATTAATAAAAATTAACTTAAAATTTAAATTATTTTTAATCATTAAATAACTATTAAATAATTATATCTAAGTTTACTTAATTATTATTATTTTATTAATTAATTGTTAATTATTGCTCAATTTAAATAATAAAATTAACAAAAAATAAGAATTACAAACCTATCTCTTTTCCTCTCTCCTCTTTGCTTGAAATCCTTCTCTTCTCTGCTTGAAACCCTTGCTTAATTCACTCCCTCTGTCTCAACTTCTTAGGGTATGTTTGGGGTAGCTGCTGCTTATCCAGCTTATCCACTCCCTCTGTCTCAACTTCTTAGGGTATGTTTGGGGAAGCTGCTGCTTATCCAGCTTATCCCCAGCTTATCCATATAAACTGTTTATCTTGAAAGCTGCTGATCTGCAGCTGATCCAGATAAGCTGGCTGATTGTTTGGTTTGTGTGTTTGGAAAACAACTGATTTTGCAGTTGTTTCTGGATAAATGAACATTATGCCCTTGATCTGGATACACTGGTTAGCTATTTAGTTTGTGCGTTTGGAAAATAACGGATTTGTAAAACATAATTATTATGGCTAAATATTTGATAGTTTAGAACAAAAAAAAATCATAACAGCACAAAAATAAGGATATACACCTCACTTAAGAGTGAGTATCAACAAACCTAAAAAAAGAAAATACATATTAAAATTACAATTAAAAGTATGATGATATTCATTTTAAAATGCAGAAGAAGCATGTCAAAGATAACATCAAATCACGATCACTTAATTAGTTAGCAACATAAAAAAGTAGATAAATTGGTGAATATAACACATACTACAAAAATAATACCAATAATTCAACAAGTAATGGTCATGAGACTTCAAAATGACACACCAAAAACCAGTAAGAAAACTATGTGCTTTTTATAAGCATAATATGTATGGAGGTAACAAATGATGAAATTGAATGGTTAATACCTAATATAGTCCCCACTTTCACACTTTTCTATGGATTCTAAACAAGAAATGTTTAGGGCTACACCTCTACTAAGGGGTGAAAAACTCAATGTTCAAGTTGCTCACAATAAAAGAGGTAAGCACACACTATTCTTTGCTACTTGAAGAACAAACAAAAGAAAATCTTGCAAGAAACTAAATAAATCTTAGTCTTTAAATCTATTATATGGTAATGTTAACATATAATTTCACAAATGAAGGGAAAACTGAAAGAAAAGACACGGTATGCTAACACTTAGAACAAAATTATGTTGCCAGTGAACTTACTCAGCAAATTAGTCAATTGTGTCGGCCTTTCTGTCGAACTAGACTACCTTGATCTGTTCAAAAAGGAACTTCTCAAGAGATGCAATTTCCATAATCTTATCTTCCACTGACTTTGAATAATCTATGATGAGTGTCGAGCTCTTCCGTTTCCCTCCTTTCGCACCAGCGCTAATCCTTGTTCGACCCATCTTTCAGCCTCTCTCAGCAAGCTCGCTTGTTCTGAAGTTCGTGCGTTAGGGAAACTAAGCGAGGGAGGAGGTGGACAACAGAAGGGCACGAGAGTAAAGAACCATTCGCCGCACATCGAAGACGAGGGCTGCGGGGTAGATCCCAAGGCCCCGACTATTAAGGATTTCAAAACTACGTTTCACCATAATCTGTCCGAACGCAAGAACCAAACGACAATGCGGTGTTTTCAAAACGCCGACCGAACTTATAAGCCGCCACAAACGACCCCTTAATATTGCTTAAAACTATCTCCTTCATGACCAAACTCTCATGATACAGTTGTGATTAGACAACAACGGGATTGTTGTGTACAGAGACCCTAAATTCTCATCTTTCTCCTCTTTCCACTTTGTTCCTACCGAAAGATAACTTTACACTTCCTTTTCGCGTGAAAGCCCGCCTCGAAATTATAAATTCAACGCTGTGTTCGGTAGCTTATTATTTATCAATTTAACCACGAATTTAACTTAAATCCAACCAAACACAAAAAAAAAAATCCAACGCTCTCTTAAATTCGATTTTCTTAAATTCTATTATGAGTCTGATTTATTCGGCAATCATTCGCGATCTCTTTCAACAATCGACTCAATTTGATAAATTCAAATTCATCACATTTGATGAATTCAAAGTCATTAGCTTAGATAAGATGAATCTAATGTGCAGCCAAACACTGCCATGATTTTAAGGCATAAATCCATGAAATCCTAATTTATCGAATCTGTGGTTATATTTTGTCCAAAATGGTCCACCTTTAAATCCGTTATCAGACATGACCTTAGGATTGAGTTCACCGTTATCATATGCGGTGGACAACAAGCCCCATTTCTCCCTCTCTATAATCCCCTCACGCTGCTTCCCGCAATCACACAGTTCCAAGACATTTGAGAAACAAATTGTTCCACTGTTTGATTTTTCTATATCTGGTAAGAAATTTATGTGCACTTTGATTTCAGTATTCGCTTTGGATTCAAAGTTTTCCTTTTGAATCGACCATTTACTTTTCTCATTTGAGTAGAACAGTTTAGGATTTGAGATCTATGCTCAAGGCAATAATGGCCGAGGCCTTCGGATTTCAAATTTGATGACTTTGTTCGGGGAGGGTTTGGTAGTCTATGATAGATTTAAGTGTGAATTTAAGGTATATCCACCAGACATATTTTTTGCGTTCTGGTAACTTCCCGCGTAACGATCTGGAGTTGGATTTGAGGACCACGTCCTTCGTGGCGGAGGAGAAGATTCCCGTCGCTTGCCTCGCCGCTAGCCGCAAGTCGCCTCCCTCGTCGTCGCAGCCGAAACCTCGCTTACATCGCTCCAGCTCTCCCGGTACCTCTCCCTCTTTCTAGTCTCTGCCCGAAACCCTCGTCAATGTCCCTCTTTCTCTCCCGGTTCCGCCCAATCGCCCAATACCATTGCCTTATTCACGGAACCCTCGCGATACAGTCGCGATTAGAGCTTACCTGGAAAGGCAACCTCGGGAATATCTTGGTGGATTTTGAGCAGATATTCTTTCTGCTACTATATCTTTTTTAATTGTCTCTGTCAAGCTTGGTGGATTTTGAGCAGATATTCTTTCTGCTACTACTATATCTTTTTTAATTGTCTCTGTCAAGTGTGGGTTGCTTTTTAATTCATTAATCAAAGCTAAATTATCTGAATTTGATATTTTGGTTAATGCTTCCTCACTTGTTGCGATTTTTTAGTTTTAATTCTAATTTATCTTTGACGAATCAAATGAAGTTGGAAAAAAAAAAAAGAAAATCGGAATTGCAAAATGTTTTATTTTATACAAGCATTCTGTAATGCATTGTCTATATGCCTCATACATTTTTTGGAACACATTTTTATGCAGAATGGTGCTTTTTTTTCTGTTTATTTCTACCTGCTATAGTAGTAGGTCTATGTTCATCTTTTAATAGATTTGAGTCTTCAACATCAGGAGAAGTTTGTCTAGATTTTCTATGCAATGAGTAAGGCATGTCATGTTGTTTGGGAAGATAACTGAAGGCAGAGTAAGGTTGAATTCGATGCACTAATGGTTTCAGCCCAAAATTTATTTCTCGAAGTGTTTGCCAATCATTTTATTTTACCATACCAGCATTTTTTATCTATACCAGTATTTTTTAACTATCTAATGTGGAATTAAACCAAATTATCGATTGCTTGTAGAACTATCTTAATTAGGTCATGATATTTCTTTTTGTGGGCTGGCTTTAATGAATTTATACCAAATTAGCTATTGGTAAACATCCTAGGAGTCATCTCTTACTTCTTCTATGTCTCAAATCAAGTGGCTTACTGCGTTTCTTACAGGGCTGTTTAAGCACTGTATAACCAAAGAAATCCCACCACACTGAAATACAATGGCAGCATTTGCAGGATCTGCAGGCAGTAGAAACCACAGTGTAGAGAAAACAGTACAGTTACTAAATTAATTAATAAATTTTAAGAAAATATACAAGTGGGAACATAGATTTACATACATACCACACAATTTCAATGTATTTACATATCTAGCACATAAAGTTTGATATTTATATGTATAACACTTCACCTATGCAAGAGAAACTGTATATCAATTTAAAAAGATAGTAACAATTGCCTTTTTTATGTGATATTATGTATTAGTGTTTTATGTAAATATATAAGAATTATGGGTGCACCTATAACTTTTTGTAGCTGAAATAACAACATTATAACTGGATTTAAATAGGCTCAAGAGAATTAGCAACAGATGAATTACATGTCCCACCCACACCAAATTCGATGATCCTTTCATTTTCCTCTGTAATGCAATCCAGAAATTGCTCCAAAACATTAAGCTGCTCATCTAAGAACACTAAGATTTTTTATTGTAATTATAATTTAAGAAATTCCAATTATTTTTAACGGAAACTTACGTAAGCGCCACACAATTCTTATGAATTTACATATCTAACACGTAAAGTTTGATATTTACATTTATTACACCTTGGTGCTATTAACCTATGCATAAATAAATGCATCTGACTTTTACACAGGCCTTTAGGCTCTTATCTGCAAGCCCTTCTAGCCTACACAAAGCCACAAAAAAATTAGACGGAATATTAAACTAAACAGGTAAATTTTTCAACCTTAACTCACCTAAGCTTTGGCTGTCTCCCGAAAACTATAGCAATTGCTTTGACCATGGAAATATCGTCATTAATTTCCGGCCTCAATTTCTCAGTCTACAGTTATAAATGAATCAGAGCGTTATTCTGAATTAGGTCCCCATTCACTTTTTTGGTTGAAGTTCCTTATTGAAGTTAGCATCCCTGTGCTTCTGTAAAATGCAAGGACTGCATTGTTTCTCCCTAATTTGTGCTGAATGCACACTTTATTTCTGCAAAAATCTGCATTTATTCATTCTGACGTATGCATTTCTGTGCTTCTGAAGTGTGCTGGACGCTCCAGAAATTTGCCCTTATTCTCCCAACTTTTAGATTTTCAAATCGTCTATGTTAAATCATGAAAGTATATACTAAACATTAGTTATGGATTTAATTGGATTGAAGGAAATAATACCAAATGCAAAAATTGGAGTTAACTGGATTTAATAAATCCAGTTTGCTGGATTTAGTAAATCCTACTTAATTTAAATCCATCAGGCAGCCATCTGTGTCTATTTTACTAGTGCTTAATGTCTCTTCTTCTTGCAGCCCTTCAACAACTCTGTCCATGGATCATGCGGAGCTAACTACTGAAGAGGTACGTGAGTGGTTCCTTTTTTCCCTTCTCGCTGTTATAAAGCTCAGTTTTTAGGGCTTCATCTTCAGTTAGGACTATGAAGCTTTTTTTAATGCTTTTAGGCTTATCCTATGCTTTTGACTTTGATTTCTGCAATGCACGAGAAAACAAAATGATTTTAATTTTTGTTTAGTTTTAAGAGCCGTCAAATTTCTTTGAGAAATTTTTGGATTCATCTTGTTATTCATTTTTCTATGAGCTAACAATCAAATGCAGGTAGACTTCAAGTCAAGTTTTAGTAGTATAAACATTGAGCAATCTTGATGGGCTTTCATTGATTCAGTATTCTATTTGATGCGGGCTTGCTGTGGTTATGAGCATAAATCTGACCTGTAATGTGTTTCAGTCATATGATAACTTAAAATTTCATCTCAGAGTAAATGAGCCAAATATCATGCAGACAACAGCATGTGGTATGTAAAATTTTGAAATGAAGCTCGACATATTACTACAATAATTGTTCATGATGGCTTTTTTTACAATTGATTAGTTTATGATGTTGCTTTGTTAGAATTAATCTCTAGGGCATTTTTATGGCTTGACTATTCTCACTGCCTGTGGCCGTGCTAGTTACATGGTCAAAGTGGACTTGTCTGTAGCTACTTCCTGGCAATTTGTTTTCAAGGAAAAAATTATGAGCGAAGTAAATTGCCGTCTCATGAAATTTGCTTGACATCTACAAATATCTTACATTATGCAAATGGTACCTTTTCTAGATCTCACAAAATTTTAAAAGGTATTTTTTATTTTGGGGCTTGTTCATGAACCATATTTTCTTGTATCCTTGCTTCCCTTCTCTTCTGATTAAAGATCAAGGATTCATTCTATCTTTTTCGTATCAATCTATAACATTTGGTGCTTGCATCTGTGTCTGTTTGTAGTGGTAAGAACTTGTCTCTGTGTTACTGTGTACATGGAATATGAAAGAAAAATTTTGTACCGTCACTGAATGTTTTGAGTTCAATGAATACAATTATTTCCATATCCCTTAGGTTAGGTTTAGCAGAAGGGCTATTGCATTTTTATTGCCGGTATTGTGATTAGGCGTAATGTATACTGCATTGTTTTAGTAAAAATGAGATTTGCTGAAACTTCGATGAATCTAAGTTAAGTGATGGTTGCCTTAAGGATATGCTTTGGTTTTCTTTAATCTGAGTAGTATGTCATATTTCTGCAGGTTCTACGGAGGGATATACCATGGGAAACATATATGAGAACAAAGCTGATCTCAGGAACAGGCTTGCAGTTGTTGAGGCGATATGACAATAAATCTGAAAGCCAACGGGCAGCTTTACTGGATGATGTAAGCTTGTGTTCCCGTTGATATGATTGGGTTTAATTTTCTTTCTGTTTGCATACAATATCTTTTTAGAGTTATCATAAATCATTGGGACTTCTTTATCATTGCTATATTGTTATTTAGCATCTATATTAATTTTAGCACATCTTTGTTTTGTTTATGATAAGCACCCGATTCTGTTTGCAAAAGCTTGTGTGTCATTTTCTTTACATAGTTTGATTACATGTTGAAGTGTTCTTCAGGTCAATTTGAATCTTTAAAATAACTTCCTTTGTTATGTAGAGGCTATTCTATAGTTGAGTCCTGCAAAAGCTTGTGTGTATTATTTGTATTAATGGTAATAAGACCCTTTTCCTCATGCATTGTGAGCATTGCACCTTTTATATTGCCTGCTTAAAGAATGACTAATGTGTGGAGAAAATCATATTCTCTTAGTTCCTAGTAATCAAAATACAATTTTTCTCCTTATATAATTAGGAATTGCTAGGGCAAGATTAATCATAATAATTAAAACTTATCAAAGAAAACATACTCAAGAAGGAAAGAAATATGACATAACAAGGAGAGAATAAAACTAAAATAAGAAACTTAGATATCCACCCTCTCTTTCAAGCTGGGTCATAGATATTGTAAAGACCCAACTTGGTATTTAGATTAGTGAGCTACCTAGAGGTAGATATTTAGTGAAGGCATTAACGACGTGAAGATGAGTTGGAATGTAGATTAACTGAATAATGTCTTCACTGATCTTTTTAGAGATAAAATGTTTATCAATTTCAATGTGCACTATAGGAATTAAGCTATTTTACGTCGGCGAAATCGACAGCAAATCTGACGATAATTTGGTGTTAGGGTCAAATTTGCATCGAATTGGTCTCCGAAGGTAAAACGAGGATCGATAATGCAATTTACGTTGAATTTTCGTCAGATTTATTGTCTGGCAATTTCATTGCAAAATAGTTTTACAAATTACCAATGGATTTTGCATTGACCCATATCTGACTCAAATTTACATTGTATTTGTGTCAACTTTGCGTCTGTTCATATTGAAGCACAAAGAAAATTAATTGTAGGTTTTGCGTCGAAAAAGTTGATGCTAATCTGACGCAAACCTATAAAATAGAAAAAAAAACATATAAGAACTTTCAGATACGTACAACCCACACACAACAAAGAATAATAGCATAACAACTTACTAATCGATTATCACAACACAAAATATATATGACAAACGAATACTGATAATGAAAAATAACGTAATGTAATAAATATTAGTTGCCAAAAGTTTACATCTAAGCCATAATATAAATTCAAAAGTTCCAAAAGTAAAAAAAAAATACATTGGAACTCCTAATCACACTCCTCATCGGCCACAAAACTCATCGGTCGTTTGCCCCGATGATCTGTAATGCTCTCCGTCAGACATTCTATACTCTCCTCAATTATCTGTTGGCCTTCACGCATATGAAAGAGCTTTTCATTCAAAGCATCGACCTGCCTTCCAAACTCTTGATTACCCAATTGTGATGAGCTCATGCCACCTACAAAAGCACGAGAGATCTCAGTTTTGAATGCTATGCCCTTCGCACCTAGGCCTTAGATCCTCATCTTCTTCTTCCTCATCGACCGTGTCCATATCTTGAAATCAAATTGCGCAGTAGTAAACTGGCTACCACAGCTATTGGCGGTGGTTGGGGTTTGGCTGACTGTTTGCCTCTCTTGGAGCTGCTCCTACTCCTACTAAATAATAAAAACTAATGATTAATTGTCATTTTCAACATTATGAGTCAGAATAAATGTTGAATAATCAGTTTTTTACTTTCATTCGCCGAGACTGTTCAGAACCCATTGCTGCGTCCCTAAGCGCAGATGCGTTCAAACATGTAACTCAGCAATGAAGGGCTGAAGACTAATCTCCTTAGCCCGTGTAGTATAAGAAATTGATTAGCACCTCATAATTACATCAATCATTGAATTTTTAAATATTTAAAGAGTCTTACCAGCCTTCTGTAATGCTCCGTGTGGGAGATTGAACCTCCAATGTGGAGTGTAGCGCCCCTGGCCCTCTCGGTCGCCCGGTTAATCTGGCTCTTCCTCTGATACTGCTGAGAGGCCCAGACCGTGGTCAACTGAGCCTAATATGATCATATTGAACTTCTGGTTCTTGCTTATCATGTGCAGTCCAGTATCTATAATTTGGTTTAAATCCCTTGTTGTATGAATCCAACTGGACTTATTCAGGTGGTGGAAGCACTCGATTTTTGTGTTTCGCACACGGACATCGAAACTTATTCTGTGAACAATAAATACGCAGCTGTGATGACACATGCACAAATTCCTTAACACTATTCAAGGACTTATTAGTGAGTTCTTTCATTATGGATATAATCTGTTTTGCATTCATAATCTCAAATTTTGAATATTCATCTACAGTATAGATGTAATTTTATGGATCAGTACAACTAGATATCAGACGTACATACATTTTGTATTGAGACTTAAGGGCAATGAATAAAAGTTATATAATTTATTCGTTTTGAATTTAAATTTTCAAAAAACATAAACGCTCAAAGCACTAAGTTTAGGAAGTCAGCGAAGCATGAATCCCACAAGGTAATCAGAGCGAGTAAAACTTACACTTGCAATGAGTTATGTGCATGGGGAGGAGGATGATTGACTGAATAAGAAGTCGATCATGAAAAAATTTAGAGGAAACATTGCTCCCACATACTGAGAGGTCAAGACAAGAATCCTATTTGATAAAGAAATTTTGGTCTATATCTGTAACTCCCAACAATCATATTGGATTGACCATTAACAGACATAAAGAACAAGACAATCAAACAACAACAACAACAACACACCTTTTTTGCACTAAGTTGGGTCGGTAACGTGAATCCTTTTTCTCCATTGTGTCCTATTGAGTGTCATATGTTCATTTAATTCTCTTAAATTAAGATCATTTTTCATACAACATATCAAATTTTTTTAGGCCTACCTTAACCTTTTTTAACATAAGTTGAATCTAAAACATCTACTTTCGTTATTACCGGATCATTAGATGGTCGACGCTGAATGTGAAAAAACCATCTATGATTACTCTTTAATCTTGTTTGCCAGTAGAGCTACACCAACCCTTTCATTGATGTATTCATTTCACATTTTGTCTCTAAGTGTAAAGCCACTCAACCACTGAAGCATTCTTATCTCAGCAACATGAAAATGTCAAAATAATTGGTTTTTGTATTTTAATACAAAATTGAAATTCTATCAAATTTAGCAAGAGAAATAACACTCATTTGGGGCATTTACATAGATGCTACCCAATTCTTATGTATTTAGACATCTAACACCTAAACTTTACTTTTTTACATTTATACCTAAATCTTTCATATCACATCAAAAGTAACACTCATTTGGGGCACTTACATAGATACCACCAAATTCTTATGTATTTAGACATCTAACATCAAAACTTTACTTTTTTACATTTATATATAAATCATCAACATCACATCAAAAATACCACTCATTTGGGGCATTTACATCAATACCACCAAATTCCTATGTATTTAGACATCTAACACCTAAGCTTTGCTTTTTTATATTTATACCTTATTCTTCCATATCACATAAAAAATACCACTCAACTTTTAAAAAGTGAAATACACCATTTATGCATAGGCAATGTGACATATGTAAAAAGTAAAGTTTTGGTGTAAGATATTTAAATGCTGAAGAATAAGGTGGTATATATATATATATATATATATATAGCAAAGTAAGAATAAGGTGGTATATATATATATATATATATAGCAAAGGCCCGATGGCAACTATATTAATACGGAAAAGATACAAAAATGTTGTATGAGAGGACCTAAAAGAAAACTCAACAATTCAATACAACACATATAAAACCCAAATAAAGCAAAAATACATAAAGGTAAAAAATCAAAAACCACAAAAGTGCTAGGGACGTCCCACTTTAGTCCTCCTGCATCTAGTTCTCGGAAGTGAGCTGACTAACAAATTGGTAAGGTGAGTACCATTGCCCGTAGTAACCAAAGTATCATTCATCAGATTCCTGAGCTCAAGTAGATTTTCATTCTTTTTCTTCCTCTTGGATGTGTAGACCTGTCATTTCTCATCTGATCAGTAGAATTCAAAGGTGGTCGGACAGGTGTAGGTCGTTGCACTTCATGATCCCCATGAGCCTGAGTAATATTAATATCTTTTTGGACTTGATGAGGCGGCAGTGAAACAATAGAAGTATTTTCACCTGTATTATCGGTGATAGGTTCTAGGGCAGACGGGGTCTGAAGAAACTCCCTCTCCCCCACGATAGGAGGTTGCAAAGACGTGGGAGCTACAACTGGAGACTGAATGGTTGTCATATTGCTTGCGGAGATAGTGACGTCTTCCGGGGTATTTGACGTGGGAGCTACAACTGGAGACTGAATGGTTGTCGTATTCTTCTGATAATCAATAATGTCAAAAACTTGGAGCTGATCAGGAGTAGATGTAATCACAGTCTCTAGCTGAGCAGTTTGTTTTTTTGGTCTGAGTTGGGGGTGTAGATGGTGACATTGAGAACTGGAGTGTCCGAACATATGACAGTTCAAACAATACGACAGAAAAGACTCAATCTCTATCTTCTGCCAATATCCTTAGTGTTGTGTGCCCAACCAGATTTCCTCATAAGCTGGTGAAGTGATGTCTCTTTTAGCAAGTACTCTGACTTCAGAAAGACGAGAAAGATTAAACGAATGAATGCCCGTCTTGAGTGACTTTCCATAAGCTGAGACAATAAAGTACAATACTTTTTGAGAAAAATAATGAAATTTCATAATAGAGAGACTAATCCAAACCTGAATGATTGTCGGTTCCGTCTGTGGGTCAAAATTCACAGACCATTTCAGAATCTTCATTGCTCTGTTATCAATCCATATTATTCTTCTAGCAAATAAGCGCATGTAGTTTTCTTCATTACTAATTTGAAT